ATTACCAAATATTATAGATGAATCACCTTGACCAAAAGTTTTAATGGAAGCCCTTCATTTTTTTGTTGATGTACACATCAAAATATTTAGAAGATGTTGAAATATACCAAACAAGATCATAAGACATAAAAGGACCAGACTTTCAATATGAATAGAGGTATTCACAAACTAAAGTTTGTGTTATCACAGTCTGGACCACTAAATCTCTGAAATACAGAGAAGTTAAAGGTGATACTTTTCACAATCAGAAACTATGTTTATAGAATAGAATAAGGTGAGAGAAATCCTTTCATATAAACAACAGAATTTATCTATTCTTGCTAGAGATACTGTAGGTTGGAATTCTATTACTCGCTTGTTTCTCAACTGTTCACCACCAGTGAGGTCCACTTAGTATTGAGTACAATAAAAGTTTTGTCCTGTTATAACAGTTTACACAAGTGGTTAAAAGAAATACCTTTATTTTTTCAACCCTGTAACTAACAAAAACATGAGCTTATAGGAAATTTGGTGCATAATGAATTTTCAAAAATAGGTTTAAAATAACACATATCAGGAAATATACAATTAAGTTTTAGACCAGTTTACCATGTAGTCCTTGTGCTTGACTGGAACTGTAGTTTCTCTGTTGGAAGTGGAACCACTCCTACTGGGTGGTCGCTCCCTTTTAATATTCCTGTCAACCCCATTTTCCCTTAGAGGGTTTCGATTTGGTGGAGAGATGGAGTCCTGCATATAAAATTATAACACTTAAAAAAAACAACAGAATTCTAATTTACACTTCAAAATTATGATATGAATAATTAAATAAATGAAACTCAATTGCTAAGCTATGAGAATTCGGCAAATTCGGGTACAATTCCTTAACTAACCATTGTTACCATAATTAAAAAAGAGAGACAAACACTAATTGGAAAACAGATACTTGCTAACTTTTTGAAAACACCAGTAAACTTTCAAGAGAACACCAAAAGTTTCTTACATCATTGGCAACATCCACAACAAGGTCTTGGTCACTTTTCTCCTCATCGCTGTCCTGTAGTATTGAAGAACAAGGAGATAATAAGCTTGTGAACACAGTGCAGTTAAGAATTTGTGATTAATTTGTACCAGTCAAACAATCCATGTGGTCTATTAATATTCCAAGACAACACAGTACACATTAAGTGCTTCACCAAAAACAAAAAGATTTACTTATCATTCATCAAGGATAAAGTAATTAAACATCCATTTAAAACATCTTTATTGTTTCCAACTTTTAAGTTTTAGTGTTTTTATCCAAAGGGAAAACATGATCTTTGAACAATATGGATAAAAACAGTAAAACTTAAAAGTTGGAAACAATGAAGGGAAAACATGATCTTTGAACAATATGGATAAAAACACTAAAACTTAAAAGTTGGAAACAATGAAGGGAAAAACATGACCTTTCAACAATATGGATT